AATGTTTTCTGTTGGATACCAACTAAGTTCCTTTTCTATAGGTGATCATTGAAGGGAGAAAAATTTACGTGCATTTGATTAAGAATCATGTCATATTTTCTTTCAATGTTTTTGAATCGCGGTCATTTTATAGCAAGGAAAAAAATAATCGTTTATTGCAGAACGGAATTTTCTTAAAGCAGAAATTGTAATAATAGCAGTAGGTAAGGCATTCCATTACCTGATTGTCCATGAGAAAAAATGTAGTTTCGAGCTTAACTTTATGTGTATGACATGTGTTCATGCGTTTCTTAGAAGCAGGTCGCATGGTCATAGTTGTTGTTGGTACTGATCTTAGTATTCTATCAGCTAGAAAAAGTGGAGTAAGGCCTCTAAATATTTTGAATAATAATAAAATTTTGTGCGTCGCAAATATCAGGTGTCCCAGGTAAAATGGCCTTTTTTGTTTTTGCGATAACTCCATCATTTTTGTGCAATCTGCTTAAACTTTTTTTTAAACGATGCGTCATTTAATTCTCTACAAAAACATGTGTCACCAATTTTCTCGGAGTAGAAATTCTTAGAGTTATAGAAGAAGAAGCGAGGATGTGTAAAGATTCCAACTTTCTACGGCAAAAAATCTTCATCAGAATCTAAAATCCGAGACGGCCATTCGGAAGAAATTTTCCAAAGCCCACATCGGCGAGAAGAGATTTTTCTGTTTTCTCAGAAAAACACCATTTTGCAATCATCTTTTTATCTCTTCCACGAAAATCCTCATAACTCAGCCAAAACTCATCTTTTTTCGATAATTTTTTTCATTTTGTAGCCTGTAGTCGCACTTGCTCGATGAAATCGCTTTTGATAATTTGGCACACCGCATGTCACCCTCTACTCTATTTGACACAGGTTGTAAAACAAGGTTTGGTACTGGCAAAAATTCTTGACTTTTTGAGCCAGCTAAGTGGACAACAAACGTTACTTGTAGGCCATTAGAAAGAGCATACTTTAAAGTACTAGAAACAAACATAAACTAAAGCAGTCAGTGTGATTTCACTTGCCAAAAATGTCAAAGAAAGTGCGGCAACTTTGGCTTAGAAAGTTGGCACTTTTACACGTCCTCACCTTTTCTTTTATAACTCTAAGAATTTCTACTCCGAGAAAATTGGTGACATATGGTTTTGTAGAGAACTAAATGGCGCATCGTTTAAAGAAAAGTTTGAGCAGATTGCACAAAAAATGATGGAGTTATCGCAAAAACAAAAAAGGTCATTTTACCTGGGACATCCGATAGATGTTCAAGTGATAGCCATCCTAGTATGTTGAAGACTTTATCTCGCGAACTGAGACACATAACACCACTAACAATCAGTGCAGCATCGTACTCTAGTTTAGCAATTGGTTTTAAATAAGCTAATACATTGGGCAAAGGGGTATTTGCAGTCTGAATCTCTCTCGCATACGCATAGATTACATCTGCATAATTTAACACTGGCAAAATATACAATTTATAGATCTGGTCGAGTGTAGTCATACTTAGAGTATTTTTGAAACAGCGCATTAGGTATACTGTATATTTACATTTTTTGATACCTCGTATACATGCAAAGACCACCCATGTCGACTATCGCGATAAAGTCGCGTCGCGAACGCGTAACGCGATCGCTTATAAGCTCGCCAAATTTGTCACTAATTTCGTGATTGCTATAAAGTCGCGATGGAACGGGATTTTTCCTATATAGTGGCTACCCAGGTGAAACACGTCTTGTAAGACCTTGTAAGATCTGATATTTTCTTGTGAAATCTTGTAATAAGGTCTTACGATATGATCATACAAGATCTTATTATAAGATAATATAAGATCTTATGGAATCTTGTAACTTCTTGTTATAAGATCCCCCAAGATCTGATTATGAGAAGTGACAAGGTCTTGTAAGATCT